CATGAAATTGGAGATCAAATTTCAAATAATAAGTCCTTAATTTTGCAGTTTCTTGGCTTTGATGTAGTAAAGTAAAATGTCAGTAGAACAAAAGAAAATCTGCAAACAACGGCCTCTTAAACACCAAAACTATAAGCCATAAACAGCAGACTGAGAACAAATAGAAAAGAAAACTGAAACTCTTTGGAACATTCTATTAAAATTGTGAAGAGGTATGACATAAACTGGGTAAAAATGTCTGTAATAAACATATATGACAAAGCATTTGTGTTCAAAGCCCAAAGGATTGTATCATTGGAAAAGCCCAACAATCAAGAAAATGAGAGGAAATATTGGAGTGTACACCTCACAAAGCAAGGTATATTCATGGTCACTAGGCAGGAGATGATGCTGCGCATCACAGCCAGCCAGAGAAGTGAAAGAAAAAGTAACAATGAGCAAATTCCACACACCCATACAACAGGAAAAATGTAAAACATTGAAAAGTAATAAAAAGACTGATAGTACAATACAGGTAGAAATGTAAACTACCACAAAGCTTTTAGAAAACAGTTGTCCATATCTTTTAAGATTGACATGACATTGAATACACATTTATCACAAGATCCAACAATTTCAGTGTCAGGTACTCACATGGAAAATAATAATACAGCTCTACAAAAATGCACAGATATTCAGCAAATGTCATTCATAAAAGCTCAAAGGGAAAGCCTCACAAATGCCATTCACAGGTGATTAGCTATACATATGTGTGTCCAATATGAAATACTATGGGATATTTCAAAAACAGGGACTGCTGAAATATGTAGAAACATAACAATGAATTTCAAAAGTATTTTTTCTGAGTGAAAAGAAAAAGAAGCCCTATGTAGATTTTCATTTGAAATGTTCCACATGAAATTTGAAATAAAACAAAAAAGAAGAAAACAAACAAACTATAGCAATGGAACGGCTACCCTGTATTTTCTGAGAACAGGGAGAGGCTGAATTCAAAGCTGCATGAGGTGACATTGTGGGTGGATAAAAATACTCTGTATCTTGGTTCTCATGGTGGTTGTGTATGTATGTATATTCTATAGAACTCTTCTAATATATATTTTCAGCAGTTGCATTATATGGTAGATACATTAGATATATATGAACAAAATTGCCAAGATGTTAACAGCCAAAGGACAAGATTACTGTGTGCTAGTAAGTGCTGAGTTACTATAAGAAGATACCCGAGAGAGACCACTTACAGGAAGAAACTTTATTTGGCTTACAGGTTTGGAAGTGTCAGTCGCTGCTCAGTGGCCTCTGCTTTTAGGCTGTGGAGCAGCAGTGCATCCAGCAGGAAACAAGCAGTAGAAGTTGCACACGTCATGCCAGCAGGGAGTGATGGAGAGAAAGAGAAAGGGCCAGGGTTCCAGTGTGCACTGCAAGAGCATGGCCAATTTGAGTGGAAGATTCAAGTGGACACTACCTCTTAAAGGTTCCAGAACCTCCCCATGGCATTACTGGTTTGGGACCAAATCTTTAGCGCATGCCCCTCTGGGTAACATTTGACCGAGTGATAGTATAGAGGAATTACATTCTAAAACAGCAACAACTCCTTGAGAGCAGCTGTTAAGTGAAATATATTAGACACAAAAGTTTAAATATCACGTTTTCTCATATGAGAAACCAAACTTATAAATAATTTAAAGATAAAATGCAAAGATAGAGAATAGGAAGCGGAGAAAAAGGGATAGGGACAAAGAGATGAAGGGAATGGGGAGAAAGGGGAAGGGGAGGGAAGAAAAGAGAGTGAAGATGTGCTGTGCACGTGTAGCAACTCCACGCAAGAAATGCGGTTTGCTACTGCAAGCACATATGAATAAAAATTTCTTTAAAAATAAAATAGCAGCAACAAATTAGCGAATAGTTTCTCCAGAGCAAATAGAAATAATTCTGTACAATAAGTATGAAGGGGGGTAATAGTCATGGAAATACCTCTGAAATGCTCAAAAATAAGAGAAATCTATAAAATTGGGTGAAGTAATATTTTATGCATAGGAAAAATGTTAGGTTTGTATTACTTATCCCCTGTAGTATTGGAAAGAAGCAGGTTGTCTTGCAGACTTACAATGAAAGGTTAAGAATAAGGACCCTTGATAGAATTCAGATAAACCCCTAATAATGTATCAAGGACATCTAGTGCAGTCATCGATGGAAAGCAAAACTCCAGTGTGTTACATGAGAACTGAGGAGATTGCTTTGGTTGAGATACTTGTTTCTTTTATGTAAGGCATCTTTTATTTTCCCTTGGGATTTATCTTCACCTTATTGTGAACCAAATGTTTTCAAACTTAGGAAATGTAACAAAAGCATATGAAAATATAATTCTAATAAAATATCTCACAAAGAAAATGTGAACTAACAGTGAGCTTTTCAAAATCTAAAAAGTCATTTATGAAGCATATCAATTTATATATTGACAGAGAATTATGTCAGTGTTAGTGTTTTTGAAAGAAAGGGCACATTAACTAAAATATGAATTATGGTTAATACTTACATACAAAAGACTTTCCATAATTTTATCTAAAAGAACAAACATACTGGAATGACATCTAAATTGCAGATCACTGAAAAGAAAATGTGCAAACAGTAAGATAAAAATGAAGGTGATTTCCTGTGATTTTTGTTACGTTTTTCTGAAGTTGATAAATAAGTGCAGTTTATCAGATGTTGTCATGTTAGACTGATTCGTCTTTAAAGCCTTCACCTCAAGATATTCCAAGAGCAACAGTCAAAGTGTCACACTATAGGATGGATTTGAAAGTTAAAGCCAGAACAGTTTCCTCTAAGGATGATATTCATAGGATGAATATCATGGGAGGCACAGCTTGGTCTACTTTCTAGAGCCCTTAGAATTTTGCGCATTTATTTCTGAGAAGTCCTAGGAGATGTTAAATCTTAGAAAAGCTTGCTATGAATCTTGATTTAGAGTTCATCCTCTTGTGAGAATTTAAAACCTTTGCTATGCAAAAATGTGATCCAGACTTCACAATTTTCACAACTGAATGTCACTGCTATCTGAATATGTTGTTTAAAGAACATTATTCTTTAATAAATTGTGTATGCTTTTAATACTATAGGTAAATGTCTGGTAATTCACCTGTGTCCAAACTGTTTTCTGTCAGTTTCCTAAATTCTCATGAGAGATTTCACACTGAGAAAAATAGTTCAAGAGTCTTGTTTTCCATCACATTTTATATTTCTGCAAAGAATTGCCCACATTTTTATGATGGAATAATGCAGTAAATTGGAAGAAAGTCTTTATTTCTGTGTTGTGTCATTTAAACATATTGTTAGAGTCAGTAATTCATATACTTTTCTGGTTTTGGTGGAATAATTGGCTAGAATCTCTGGTTGTAGTTAGAAATGAAGAAGAATAACCAACTCACCTAAAATATGTGGTGCATGTGTTTTCCAGCTTCCATTAGTAGATTAAAAACGTTGTGCACTTTTTACCTAAAGTCTTCCTATAGAGGTTATCCCTTAATATGTAGACTTATCATAATTTCTAAAATAAATTTGGCACATTATATGAAAATTCTGGTGAATATCTTGTTTCTCATGAATGTAGTCCTTATTTTCTAGAGCAGAAAATCAGAAGTGATCTCATCTTAATGGATAATTAAAATGGGTCCATTTAGTCAAATGAATTAAAAATTTGAATATAAGGAAACTGTATGGCTTTGGATCTGCGGTAGCAACTGCTTGACATCTACAGTTGAATATGTTCTTTTCTTGGAACTTAAGTCAGCCACATTTGTCTACTTATTACCTTATCTTAATCAAAGTTAAATCATTCTTTTAATTTAATTTTTACTGCAGGTTCCCCCTATATTTCTGTGTATGTAAATTTACAAACAAAGCTCAAATCTGTAGACACACATTATTCTTTAGTGATTTATTTATCTACAGTAAAAGAACTTCCCTGAGAAAATGGTTTAGAATATAACAAAGCTTTATCACTTATTGCCTATTTTAGTAGATTTTGCTTGCTTTTAGCAAAGCACATTAAAAATGAACTTCTAAGGGGCTGGGGATTTAGCTCCGCGGCAAAAGCGCCTGCCTTGCAAGCGCAAGGTCGTGAGTTCGGTTCCCGGTACCAGAGAAAAACCAAAAAAAAAAAAAAAAAAAATGAACTTCTAATTCATATGTCCTTGCTGTTTCTATGCTGAAAGAAACTGTCAATGAGTCTTTGGTTGACCAGTATTGCATGTCTATATCTGTTTTCATGAGAAGCCACTTTGAAGATATCAATATGTAATACAACCACCATTGTTAATTCCCTACCACTTTGTTTGGAACTCTGTATTGTCTGTATTGTGCTTGTGATATGTTGTAAAATGTTGTATGTCTGTTAATGTTTCCCTCCTTTTAAAAAAAAAAAAATCATATGTCTTATTTGAGAAGTTTTAATTGATTATGTTTTTAAAGGATTAAGTCAGCATTAGCAATATTCTAGTCTTGCTATAATATTTATGTAAATCTTAAAAAATTTTAGCAAGATTTTAAATGTTTATTATAGGTATAGAAATTTTAGAAACGGTATTTCTTCAGTTTTTAATTGTTTATTAATGGCAGGAGTTATTTACATAATGAAAAAAGTAGGTGCAATAATTTAATTCTCTGAAGAAAGGAAACAATATTTGCTAAGTTTGAAAATCAATTTGAAAGATAGTGAGACAGCAACATAATGAATCATTATAGATATAGTTCAATTTCCAAAGAAAAGATAAAAATAAAAATTAACCAAGGTAATATTAAATATCACCCTAACACAGAAAACAGCCAATGTATTTAATGAAATCCCCTTGAAACAAGAATAGACATGACAGTCTAATTTGCCAATTATTTCTATATAAGGAATGATTCATTGTATAATCATGGCATGATTTATATTCTGAGGTGGAAATAATAAAAGTGACTGGAGAAGGACCCTTTTTTATGGAACTGTGCTTTCTTTGCAGAGTTCAGACATGAGCCCAGCAAGTAGCACCGCTTCGCTTCCGGTTAGTCCTCTCGCTGAAGAACCAGTGCCTTTCAAGGTAAAAATAAACAAAAGGGAGTTTGTTTTTAATACTTTTAGGTTAAGAAAGAATTTAAACTAAAGAATCATGCATGGAAAGCGAGGTGAACTGCATCTGATTTCAAATGTTCAAGTCAATTTCTTTTTGCTCATTGTCACCCTATTGCTAACTCAACGTAAAGGTTTGGGATACTTGATGAAATAATTGTCTTTCATGTGAGATGCAGACATTGTAGTGCAGTGCTTTGATTCCCCATCTCTTGTTTTGGTGAATGAAGTCATAGTTTTAGAATGAATCCTGTGGCCTTCATCAGTAGTTATATTTTCCTCATAAACACCAGGTCACCAGTGACATAATAGTTGCAAAATAAAAGTCAACATCAATCATTGAGATATCGACTCATTCTCCCACATTTAATATCTTTAAATAGATATGCAAATAAGTATTTAATTGGTATAACTAGTCCCATTCATCAGTGTGAGAGGTTATTTATATAGCAAATATAGCATCTCAGTTTGCCATTTTAGATTAGATTAGATGTTTCATTTTAAGTCAAAGTTTGAACATCAGCTATTTTTATTTGTATCAAGAATGCTGGCTATCATTAGGAGTATTATAAATAAAGGTAATCCTTAGGGAAAAAAACTTAGAAAGTTAGGACAGTGCACATATGTGGGGTGGTTTCTTTATAACTAGACTTAAAAACAGAAGATGCATCTTTAGGGGTGTGTTATACTTTCATGATTGTTGTATTTTGTCACATAATTGTATTTAACTTCTTTTCCATATAAACACTGTATGTTGCTGCACTTTGTGTGGCTTATACCTAATATTGAGTGCTATGGATATTCTTTTATTCAATATTTGTGTGTTGTTGAAATGAAAATTATGGAAGGCTGTTGGTTCCATTAAGAGTCTTTAGTTTTCTAGTTATAGATGCACTATTTGCTTAATGTTAGGCAAAAATTGTTAAAAGCTTACTTCTAAATATCAGAAAATAGTTAAATAATGGACAGTATTCTTATGGCATTATTCACTGAGAAATATTTCATTATTTTGTAACAAAATAACCTAATACTAATCCAATGAAGTCTACTACTATCTGATATTTCCATTTTATGGTATAAAGCAAAATTTATAGAAGAAGCACCTCTATCAAGAATTCAATAAAATTTTCAAAATGTCACAAGAAACCACATTCTCTTAAAAGTTAATGTATTTTTAAACAAAGATTAAAAAGTCAAATGTATTCTAAAATCTGCTGACATAAAGCTAATAGAAATATAATTCTAGTTATATTCTTTAATTGGTATGAAGAAATCAATATTGTTTTTGAGTTAATGTGTATAAATGGTTTTTGGAAGCAATTAAATGTTTCAAGTGCTTATAATATATAATATTGGCTTTCATTGGCCAGTGTACTTATAATTTACCTTAAATTACTTCTTTGGTGAAAAGAACATGATTTATATTTTTCAAAAATTATTATAATCTATGAAATCATCCCAGAATTACTTTAAAATTGTATTTGAAATTCAATTTGAAATCATAAAGTAAAGCTCAAGTGTTTCCTTCTTTTATTTTTAGTTCATAAGTTGTTATTCTAGAAATAAATAATAGAATACTCATATATTTTTTATTATCACAAAATATAAGGAAAATATTTTGAGAAGTACCTCAGTAGTACAGTGCATTATAATTGAACAAATACTGGTGAAGTATTGAAGACATAGAAAATAGTTGTATTCTTACATCCATATTGGAGGGAAAAACCTGATAATATAATTTCTACTGGTCTAAAACTTCATGTAAAATTACAGCATTTCACTAACACAGTAAGTATAAAAATGTGTGTTATATTTTTTCTTATTCCCTGTACATTTAGCTTCCTAAGGGACAGTGACTGCAGAACTCAACTCTATCATAACCCACCCTACTATTCAACTAGCAAAGCCTATGGACGATAAGCACTGTTGATTAGTTGAGGAAGTTGATTTTAAGTGACCAATAAAAATCTTGCTTCCATTTCCCTGGCCCATTTTGAACAAACTCATGGAACACTTGAACAATAATACCTGATTTTTACCTAAGCTACTATCAAGATCAATGCTTTTCTTTACACAGTATCTTTATTATTTTTTTTTTTTTAATAAAAGAAGACAACTTATTTGAAGATGGGGAAAGAGGAAACGAAATGACAGCTACTCTGGACTAGCAGGGTGGGCGAATGTGAAAGTAAACTGCTCCTGCACAGCGTCCTTGGAGTCATATTCAGATGAAAGTCATTTTGACCAGTCGGTTTGAAATAGGAACAAATGCGATCTTTTTAAAAAAGCTAGCAATTCCTCTCACACTAATATCTAGACTTTTTTTTATACTTTTATTCTTGACTTGAATGTTAGATGAAAAATTGGTTATTGTAAGGAATGTTCCAAAATAAGATCTATTAAATTAAACATGGAAAAAACCTGGGTAACATCCGGGGAGAGGCTTTAAATTTGGAAGGAGGTCAAACTTTGAGATACAAGCATTGAAGATGACAATTAAATCTTACTTAGGACCAGATGCCTTTTTTTCCTGGTAAGTCTGTGTTTTCCAACTTTATTAGCATTGGAGTCTGTTCTTCATATTAAGTGAAATCAGATCAGCTCTGAAAGGTATTTTAAACCTCACATACTAACTTATTTCTTATTGTCCTCACACAACAGTTCGGCACCTGCTAAGCTTCTTGTTTATTACTTAACACACATTTCTGTCTGTTTAAAACTTAATTCAATCTCGAGTAAGCATTCTCCCATGAAACTGAGTAACCAGAGAAGAGTGGAGTTTCTCCATCTGGACAGGGCACATACACTCTAGTTCACCTCAGCCATCCCCTCTTCCTCTTGCATGTGTATCGTATATAGCAAGCCATGAAAGTGTTTGAGTGAATCCTCCATACAAGATGATGCATATTTCACAGTCCTTTCAAAACACTACAAGTAATCAAGTCACACATTTTCCAGTCATTCTGTTGGTCCTGAGAAATTGCTAGGATCTCAAAATTTATAACTTCACAGACATAGATTTAGAAGCAAAAGGGGGAAAAGAATAATATGTTTTATTGATAGCGTTCCCTATTACATCAACCACATACACATATGTGCTGATATGCCATGACATCGTTATGGATGCGCCAAGGGACTGCCAATTTTACTTGGATGGGAATAATGTGATATCACATAACTATGATATAATCACAAGTGTTCAAGGTCATTGATTTAAGTGAAGCCCTGCTTTGACAAAACAGAAAATGAATTGGTTAACCATCAGATTTTTATAGTTTCCTGTTGAATAATATTGAACAGAGTCACAGGTGGTTTTTGTTTTTATTTCTATCTTTTTCAGATTTTATTCCAGTCATATAGCTGAATGGGTTCCATTATGGCAATTTGTACATGTGTATAACATACTACATTTCTCCCATTACCCCACTGTCCCGCTTTGCCCCTTAGTTTCACATTTTCTTTGAGGTGATTCAGTGTGCACAACAGATTTTGATCCTGTTCCTCCCCACACTGCCTACCCTTACATCTTCCTCGCACTGTCCCTTCCTTTTGTCTAATGATAGCTTTCCTTCTCCTTTCTTGTCATTATTTTTTAGATTCCATGTATTAGGGACAATGTGCAATATTTGTGTTTCTGAGTCTGGCCTATTTCACTCAATGTAACGATCTCCAAATCCATGTATTTTTCTGCAAATGACAAAATTTTCTTTTGTATGGCTGGAAAAAAATATATATATACATCATACTTTTCTAACCATTCAGCTGGTATTGGTTGGTTCCAAGTCTTAGGCTGGTTCCAAGTCTTGGTTATTGTAAACTGTGCTCTAGTAGACATGGATATGCAGGTATCACTCTGCTATGCTAACCCTGATCCCTTTGGATATATTCCAGGAGGAGTATATCTAGATCAAATGGTAGTTCTAGTTCTAGGTTTTTGAGAATCCTCAATATTGATTTCCATAGGGACTTTACTATTTTATATTTCCTCTAACACTGTACAGGGGTTGTTTACCCTTACATTCTCACCAGTATTTATTACTTTTTCTATTTTTAATGATAACTATATTCACTGGGTTAAAATGAAATCTCAATGTAGTTTTGATTTGCATTTCCCTTATGGCTAAAGATGTTAAACAATTTTTTCATATAATTATCAGTTATTTGTACTTATTCTTTTGAGAAATTTCCAATTCTTTTATTGACTGGGCTATTTTATTGTTTATTATTATTTTTTAAAATTACTTATAGTCCATATATTAATCCTCTCAGAATAATAGTTAGCAAAGATTTTCTTTCATTCTGTAGGTTGTTTTTTCACAATTGATTGTTTCTAGTACTGTGCAGAAACTTTTCAATTTGATGATTCTTGCTATTGTTTTTTTCCTGTGCTATTGGATTCCTAAATGAAAATGCAGTGGAAATAGCAGAATCTCTTGGTTACATCAAAAGAAATTCTAAAAGGGAAGTTTAAAGGTAGGAGTGCTTATTTCAAAAAACATAGAAAGATCTCAAATAAATGGACTAATGATTCACCACAGGGTCTGGAAAAATGAAGAGTAATCTAAAAACAAAACTCAGCAGAAGGAAGCAAATAATGAAGATTAGAAATGTAATTAATAAGACAGACACTAAAAGAGCAATACACAGGAGCAATGAAACACAGAGTAGCTTCACTGAAAAGATACACAACATACATTAAACCTTAGCCAAGCTAACCAATAAAAAGATAAAGAATATTCAGATCAATACAATTAGAAATGAAAAGGGAAATGTTATGGAAGATACCACTGAAATCCAGAAGATTACTGGGAACTAATTTCAAAATTGATAGTCTCATAAACTGGAGACTCTAAAAGAAATGAATAAATTTTTAGACATACAGTCTACCAAAACTTATCCAAGAGGATATAAAGCACATAACAGTTTATTGATAAGCAGCAAGATTGAAACAATGATAAAAAGAAAGTCTGC